CCCAAGTCCTGCTGGTGTTGCCACCCCAGCAGCACGGTGTCCTCAGCCCAGCCCTCCTCCCCGTTACGAGGAACGGGGGCATACTCACTTCCCAATGTCGTTGGGGAGGCTCTGCAGGGACACGTCATTCAAGGCCAAATGGCCCAGGCTCCGAAGCTGTGTGAAGCCCTCTGGAAGCCTGTGAAACCATGGCAGAACAAACCACCGTTAATTCCATGCACAAAACAAGCCGTACATTCCTCACTTAAATTCCCAAAAAGCCAGTCTTATCCCAATTGGTATCGACATGTGGAAAGGAGCAGAGCAGGAACCAAGCCTGACTCTGGCTCCTGATGCAGGATATGCCCCATTTCCAAGACAATATTGCCTTGCACCAAAGTCACTAGATGTCCACGTGTGCTAACTTGGCTCTGCAGCACTCAAGTACGAATCCCAGTCTAAATTACGCCATGCCATCACTTAAACTTGGAAGCAGGGAGGGCTACCAAGTAATCCAAACCCATCTAAGGATATTTCTGCAGATGACCCTACAGCATTCCCCAGGACCAAGCAGTACCATCGTAACAGCTCCGAGGTGTAATAGAACAGGGAAAGACCTTGTGAAAGGAGAAATCCTTTGCTGTTCACAGGCAGTTCCTGGAGCTTCCCTGCCCCACTGCTCAGGACACACCTCTCACAACTCTGGGCCACAAAAAGACTGACAAATAACTTGAGCAGAGAAGCGCCGGCTGTTCCTGTGGAACACGGATTCTCACCGACTGAAAAGCTCGTCCCATTCTGGCAGTGCCCGGCACCACCAGAGGGAAGCAGAGTTACTTCTGCTTCAAGGGCGACTTGGGCAGTGCTTGCCCGGGAGCACCAAGGGCAGCAGGCACCTGGAGTCACACTGGCATCTACAGGGACCCTGGCAGCTAACGCATCAAGACACCAGAGTGTGAAAGCATGGTTCACCAAGGCAGAGGAGCCACACTTAAATTCCTAAAACATTATGGATTAGGAGCTGTAGAGGCAGAAGACTGAAGAGACCAGGCAGAGAGCCCCATTCCTGGACACAGCTTTGGGCACTGAGATATCGGGGAAACCCACCAAGCAGAGTTAGAAGGACTGCCTTTCAAGTTACGAAGAAGAAGGCGGAGAGCAGGGAGGACCGACGGAGAGCACGGAGGACCGACGGAGAGCAGGGGACAGCACACACGCCTTTCTCAACTTCTGTGTAGCACAACGAACCCACATTCATCCTGGTTTGTGCACCAGGGTGAAGGGTTGAGGAGGGAGTAACAAAACTCCAAGAGGACAAAAGTCCTCACCAGTCACACCAGTGGCAACAGTATGACTAAAGGATCCTCAATCCAAGCCACAAGCCCTGCAGAAGAGAGAGCACACACCGGCTCTTCCCTATGCTGAGTGTTCCACCTGTCAGGAGAGCAGACATCCACAGGTCTTGGCAAAGGCAGGGTGATCCCAGGCCTTGACTTCGAGGGAAGACAATTACAGGATGAAAACCAGAGAAAGCAAACAAAAGGCTTGCATATGCCTTCCTACCTGGAGAGAGGATTCCCACTGAAGTCTGCGATTTCCAAGGATTTGCAGAATTTGATGCTTTCAGGAATTTCTGGAATGTCTGGAAAAAAACATGTGAAAGAAAAAAAAAAGAGGCTTGAAAAGAGCCTATCATGTGGAAAATGGGTGATCAGATACTGGTGACAACCTAAGATACAGCAAGACAACCACGTTTTTGTAGCTCAGGACCCACGAGAGGTCACTCTGCAGGACTGGGAAAGGGCACTGCCTCCTCCAGAGCGGGAGCCCAGGGCTGCGGGGCACCCGCTCCCCGCTTGGCTTTGGCCTTACCGTTACGGGAGATGTCCAGTTCCACCAGCTGCATGAAGTTGGCAACTTCAGGGGGAAGTCTCTGGATTTCATTGTCACTCAGCCCCAGCTTGCGCAGGTTCAGGAGCCTGAAAAAAGGCTGGCAGGGCAGAACGAAACTGGGTCAGCAGCAGTTCAGTGGGAAACCTGTGGTCTCAGCTCAGGGCAAACCTGAGCATCCACCCCTGGAGCCAACTGCCTTCTCCCATAACCTCTGTCCTGGTGAGGCCCTCAAAGTGCAGTCGCTGCACAAAGAACCCCAAGTAAGGTCTACAGGAGTCGAGAGTGAAAGAAGAAAGGCATTTATGAGTTAAGCTTCGCAATTCATTTAACATCTCTATTATCCCACTGCTCTTCTCCTTCCCTGTAGGATACAAACCAGATGCTCCTTGTTTCCTAAGGTAACGGTTCATCTCAGGCACTCAAACACTAGCGTCGTGAAGAGGTCGCTACAGAGCAGCTTGCCAGCAGACGCTACAGCGTCCAGAGAAGCCAACGAAGGAGAAGCTTGAGGACTGAAGTCCTGTCCCTGCTGCCACACATCTCTGCTGTACAGTACCTTTTGCCAGGACATCAGTGACAGGTCCCTACACCAACAGGGAAAACATTTGTGCCACTTGTACCGGAAAATTCAAGGAGCAGGCAAGCTCTCTGTAGGGCCCAAGCAACACAGAATCGGAGAAGGAAAGAAGATTCCTTTCTAGAAACACCATGGTCACAGAAACGCTGGCTGGAAGGGCATTCCAGAGGTCTTCTACTCTAATAACATCCAACTTCTTCACACCTACTCTTGTCCTCAGCAGTCAATTGTATTAGCTATAAATGGTAAATTCCAAGATTCATCACTCATACTCTTTCCAGACATCAATAGCCTCTCAGTCAGCTTACTGAACACAACGTAATTATCAACCCAACAAATCTTGCAGCTGCTTCTAACTATTGTTGGACATCGGATACGGGACAGGACGGAAAGCAAGGCTGTGGCGTTTGCTGCATTTCCTGGACTGTTTCACTGCGTCTGGAAATAACAAACAAACAACACTGGGCCACTGCAGAAAATAAGATGGTTTTAAGAAGTTTACCCACAATTCACAAACAGATAAAGGCAGAGACTGTTGCACGGACGGGCAGTAATTCCAACTGCGTGTCTGGGTTCTGCCACAGTACAGACAAGTGCCCTGAGTCACCTCTAGCAGTTCAGGAGTTTCAGATGGCCAAACCTTATGCAGCCAGTAGCTCAAGCCATGATGCAAAAGGAAGGAGCGACGAACAAGCCCAGGTCTACAAAGTGACACTCAGCAGCCGCTTCTAATCCACGTAATCATCCTGTCTGTCCTTCGCCAGAGGCAGAGAGGGAGCTACAGGAAGCAACGGAAGACGTGATTGCAGGATTACTTACAGGTCAGAAAACACGTCCAGAGAGTCAAGGCTGCTTACACGGACCACACCGAGAAGGATCCAACAAGAGTCTGAGGTCTGAACTCTCTCAATTGCCTTTCTAGTAATCCATCTGCACAAAACGTTGCTGAAATGAGCCTCCCCAGGAATGGCTGCGGGAGCACTGAGATTTGTTGTGGTTTGGGGTGGTGGGACACCCACAACTGCCGCTCGTAACATTGCAAAGAACAGTAACACCGACCAGACAAGGGCAGGGCAAGGAACGAAAAGGTGATGTACAACTCCACTGTGAGCGATACACAGACCATGCAGAGAGCTGCTCGCCCCTCCAGAAGGTCTAAGAATCCAACTGGAGAAGTTTCCCTGCTGTAGGTCAGAACCTCGGCAGTTTCCCACAGAAATGTCTCAGGAAGCGCTGCTGGGAACAAGTGCACGTTGGCGGGGCTGCGGGACGCGGCACGGCCTCTGCTGCACTGCGGCGGGCGCACTGCCACATCACCACCCGCGCTGGAAGGGAGAAGTGCTCTGGGGTGGACAGCAGTGATGTGAAACGCATACTCCTCAGGTCCTAAAGCAGTACAGTAGACCATTATCAGTAAATAAGTACAAAAAGAAGAAAAAAAAAAGTCCTCTTGACAATGCACAGCGCAAGTTCTTCTTAATTCAGTTTATCTAATGCAAATCAGTTTAGCAGAAAGGAAGTAGGTGAAAGTCTAAATGACAACAAAGGTTCAAGTCAGAGCAGGAGGTTTAGAGACTTGATTTGCTATTGTTTCCTAGATCCTTCTCCTAATTTTAGAACGCAAGGAAATTCCAGGCAAGACATTGTGTTGACCTGCTAGAGTCTGCAGGCTGGAAAATAATGAAGGGAACGGAACATCTATAGCTCGAGCTTCTCGCACTTCTGCCTACAAACTTCAGGTGGTCCCAAAATAGATGCGCACGCTCCCTAAAAAAACACTTTTCAGGAATAAAACCATGCTGCATGCTGCACTGCACGACACGCAGGAACCGTTTATTGACACGGCAGAGGTTTCAAAGGTGACTGTCGGTGGGGCAAGCCGCTAGCTGCGAACACGGACCGCAGTCGAGCTTCTCGCACTTCTGCCTACAAACTTCAGGTGGTCCCAAAATAGATGCGCACGCTCCCTAAAAAAACACTTTTCAGGAATAAAACCATGCTGCATGCTGCACTGCACGACACGCAGGAACCGTTTATTGACACGGCAGAGGTTTCAAAGGTGACTGTCGGTGGGGCAAGCCGCTAGCTGCGAACACGGACCGCAGTTTTGCGACAGTTAAGCTCTGCTTTCCCAGCCAGGTCATCGAAACCAAACCCAGTGACACTTCCCTGCACAGCAGTTGTAGCCGTGCAGCTCAGTGGGATCTAACAGCACAAACTGCGTCACAGGCTTTCCCCAGCAGAGCTGCCTGACCCAAGGGGAGCCCAGCCTGCACCCACACGCCTGCGGCCGAACGCAGACCAGCCCTCGGAATCAGGCTGTCCCACCAACTCTGCTCCAGGGAGACATCTACTACCTATAACGTTCCAAGATAACTTGCTTTGGATGCTACTTTTCTATATTGGTTGAACAGCATGTTTTTCTCTCCCAGCTTTTTCTTTTTTTTTTTTTAAAAAAAGGTATCAAAAAACCTCACAGTGCTGATGGGCTGTTATCAGACCCGTGCACAAATTTCCATTTGAACAGCAAGACTGCAAGATTAGTGCATCCCACTTCTTAAGATTCAGTTAAGTTGGACTTGAATAACATATTTTGATGTGACATAAATTCAAACTAGTCAGAGTCATCAGCAGAGACCACAAAAAACAAATGTGGAATTACAGTGTTCCCACGCAAGAATTAACATTTTATATTTGAAAAAAAAAAAAAAAAAAAGAAAGTTCAGCAGAACCCAAGTAAGCCACCATGGCTCTCAGAGTCTCACTCTGACTCGAAAAGACTTCTTGTTAAATGCCAGGTTTTCAGAAAATTAACAAGCAGTTAGGAGTCTGTTCTCATTTCTACCAGGACTATAGTTAATATGATGTAACATACAGCAACAGGATGCAGCCAGGAACTGGTTAGCCTGCAAAGCCTGTATCTAACACGACACATAAGTCTGTTCTCATTTCTACTAGGACTATAGTTAATATGATGTAACATATGGCAACAGGATGCAGCCAGGAACTGGTAAGCCTGCAAAGCCTGTATCTAACACGACACATGTAACTTCCAGTGCATTATTTTGTGAACTGGGTACTTCAACTCATAACTCCAACAGCCAAATTTACAAAGCCAGACTGCACAGGAGCTTCATCCGTGACACTGGAAATGCAGAACAAATTAATTTTAAAATTGTTAATGCAACTAAAAGTGAGAACTTCAGCAAAGAGAGACTCCAGCTTCTCTGGAGACTGGCAATTATCCCTTTTCTAATCAACGTTAACCTTGTTTCATATAGCTGACAAAAAAAGTCACAAATTTAGCACTGCACTGAATGTCTATTGAGGCGAAACATACACAACTTCGAGATTTTCTGAACACCAAAAAAAAAGGAAAAAAAAAATAAAAATCACCAAATCGGCATGACCTCGATCTGGCCCAAACCAGACTGATACAAGATCAAAAATAGAAGTCTGAAGAAAAAAACCCAAGCAGCAACCTTTCACCGTTCCCTGGCACACCAGAAGCCTACGGACCACACGGAGCGGCCCGGGATGAGCGCGACAGGACTCGGGCACACAGGAATTCGGCCGGCTCAGCACGACGGAGCGTGGCAAACAGAGAAAGGCTGAAGCCAGAGATCGGGGGCACACCAATATCCCCACAGCACAGCTGGGTAACTTGGGAGGAAAAAGCCTTTGTCACTTAGAATACATTGGAAAGACACTCTACTGCTGAAGTACGTGAGCAGCTACAGCACGGCAAAGATGGAAAACAACTGCCCAACTGTCCTGCACATCGGATTCCGAGGGCATGAACTCTTCCCATGCCCAGAGCCCTCGGTAACGTACCGACTGGCTGAAAATTAGCGAAAGGTGTAAAGAGCCCGTAAAGCACCGTAAGCCGAAAGACAAGAAATACTCCACGAAATCATAACATTGCAAAAAAGAAAGAAAAACACGCAATAGGGGCTCTGCGGCACGTTTTCAGCCGCGACACCCTCCTTCAGCAGCCCCTCTAAAGACACATGAAACAAGCACATGAGAAGTCATCCAAGAGTTATCTATGATTTCTGAAATGAAACGGAATTACTTCCATCTCTTTAAGAAAAAAGGCCACTAGTATCCATGGATTTTTCAGTCAAAAGGGACAACGCAATAATATCCCTCTAATCCTTTGTGTATCACAGACCTTTACCACAGAACCACGAAATAATTCACGTTGGAAGGAACCTTGGGAGGTCTCCAACCCAACCTCTTGCTCAAAGCAGGGTCAGCTATGACGTCAGACCAGGTTGCTCAGGCCTTTGTCTAGTCAAGTCTTTCAAAACCTGCAACGATGGAGGATTCAAGAATCCTCTGGGCCCCTGGGTCCACCAATTAATCATCATCACATCAGAAAAAGGTTCCTCGTTCCCACCTGGAAGCATGTAGTTCAATGGCAGCCTGTGCCTCCCGTCCTCGCTCACGCACTGCCGGGTTCCATCTCCGTGATAACCCCCATACACACTGGCGGCTGCTGTGACGTCCCTCCAAGC